TCCTCCTTCTCCTTCACCTCCTCCTCCTCCTCCTCCTCCTCCTCCTCCTCTTTTTGCTCCTCTTTTTGCTCCTTTTACTACTTCTTCCCTCCCTCCCTCCTCTTCTTCCTCCTCCCTGCCATTCCTTGGTGTCCCTCACACCATTCAGGTCGATCTTCTTCTACTCGCTTCACACGCTGGGGAGGAGGATCGAACCTCACTGGCGCATCCTCATCGCTGCCGTCTGCTGCTTCCTCCTCTCTGTCAACTCCCAGAGAGACCCGAACAAGTTCAGCTTCGCCAGGTGACTGTCGACAATGAGCGAGAGGAACAGGAGCAGGGGCAGGAGCAGGACAAGAGGAGGAGGAGGAGGAGGAGGAGGAGGAGGAGGAGGAGCAGCAGCAGCAGCAGCAGCAGCAGCAGCAGGGGGAGGTGGAAGGGGTTGGGGGGGAGAGGCGAGGAGGAGGAGGAGGAGGAGGAGGAGGAGGAGGATATAGGCTAATGGAGAAAGCAGGATCATCTTCAGTCCTCTGAGGCCCGTGCTCTCCTCCTCCGCCACCTCCTTCGATCAGTGGCTCTTCCGTTCGCAGCTCGACTGCTTCTCCCCCCTCCTCGGAGCCGTCGTGGCCCTCCAGCAGCACAGGATCCGAGAGGCGCTGCAGTGGCTGGACGCACAGGTGAGGGAGTAAGGAGAGGGGAGAGGAGAGAAGAGGAGAGGGAGAGGAGGCAGGAGGAGGGAGGAGAGAGAAGAAGATAGAGTAGGAGAGAAAGAAGCAAGGGGAGATTGGAGGAAAGACTTGTTGTGTTTGTGTGGGGAGCATAGTTGGAGGAGAAGGGAGGAGGGTGATCGGTTTGTACGCAGAAGAAGTCTTTGTACGTCATTGGAGTCTCGTTGGCAACTCTCTGCATCTTCCTTGTTTGGTTGTTCAGCCTCATCAGCATCGGTGATGACGCAAAGGTCTCAACCTGTCTCGAACTGTCTTGATCATGCTTGACTTTTGCAACCAGACGCAGGCTGATGTTTGTTTGCTGATTGCCAATCCTGCAAGAAATGCAGCGGATGCAGTCGTCATGGTGACGATAGCCCGACTAGCTCGACAGAGCTTGCTGGAGTTTGTGACGATGATACTTGCGCAGATGATGTTAAGAAATGCATCGCTGCTAGAATTTCTCAGGTGAGAACTCTGGATTGTGTTGCTCTCATTTCCATTCTGACGTCGTCGCCTCTTCTGCTTGACAGGAGCGCTACAACTACACCCTTCACGCCTTCTTCTGCATCTTCCCGCTACTCACTTACGTGGTGATGGAGAGGACAAGAAGGCACGACTACATTCTTCTGACGTGTTCACCCACACCAGATCTTCCGTAATCTCACACTCTCCCTCCGCTCTCGCGCCTCCTCCTTCCTCGCTTACTGGGGTCAGAGGTCTATCGCCCCCCGGGGAGGGAGGAGGAAGTGAAAGAGACGGCAGGTCGCTCGAGCTCTACCTCCTGCAGTATCACATCTGGTTGGCCAAGGACGCCAAGTGAGGGCAAATTTATCCCCTGCCCCTGCCCCTGCCCCTGCCCCTGCTCCTGCCCCTGCTCCTGCCCCTGCTCCCGTTTCTCTGGCTCTTCCTGTTCCTTCACTTGCTTCTCCTCCTCTTATCTTGTTTTGCTTCATAGGAACATTCTTGTGGTCATTCCCGATGCTCCTCTGCTCAACGCCCTCGTGGTCTTTCCAGGTGATTCTCACGCGACTCCTGTCCTTGTCTTAACTCACTCTTGACTCCCCTCCCCTCCCCTCCCACTCCCACTCCCCACTCCCCACTCCCCCCCCCTCCCTCCCTCCCTCCCTCCCTCCCCTTCCTCCCTCCCCTCCTCCCCTCGCTCGCTCTCTCGCTCCCTCCCTCTCACTCTCCTTGCAGCTTTCCTCGCAGCCTCGGACATCGCTCATCGGAGCACGAGCGGCATCGCAAGCTTTCTCCTCGCTCACGAGTTCTCCCTTCCCGGTCCTCAACCTCTCCCTCTCAGCTCTGAGCTGACGATGCAGCAGGGTCAGAGACGATGTGGGCATGCGCTGTTGCTGCCGCCTACGTCATGCTGGCCGTTGTCATGCCGCGCTGACGAGATGAGGAAAGACGGCAAGAGAGGAGAAACACAACTTGCTCCTGTCTTCCAACATTATTCTTTCCGTCTTCAGCTATCTCTTTTGACACAACAACAACAACAACATCATCATCATCATCATCATCATCATCAACGATTAAGATATTAACGGGCCGGCGGCAACTCATGGAAGCTTTTCAAGACTTCAATCTCATCTACATCAACGTGAATTGAAAATGAATAGATAACTCAAGAATAACGAAAGCACGTGGTAACTACATAAAGAATACGACAAAAACTGCTTGGAATATGAACAGGCGTGGAAGACTCGGACGTCCACGTCGCTGCTCCTCCGTGAAGCTCCCTTCCGCCCCGTCTGTCCTCCAGGAGGAATTCCTGCAAAGGAGAGGGGCCGAGCTGATGGGAGAGCCGAGAAAGGGAAAAGAGACGACGAAGACGAAGACGACGAAGATGAAGATGAAGATGAAGATGATGATGAGGATGATGATGATGATGAGGAGGAGGAGGAAGCATGCTCCTACTCTCTCCGATAGTGCTGAGGGCAGCCCCCCGTGTCCTCCTCTACTTGGAGTGGTAGCGAATCATATCGGTGACGTTGGGGCTGAGGCGGGAGGTGACGGTAGCGTGTGCGAGGTCGTGCCACATCTTAGCCCTCTCAAGGTCTCCTCGCTTGTTCTTGAGGAAGCGACTGTACCTGCTCGCCCGTGTCAGTGAGCAGGAGGGAAGAGAGAAATGAGCATGCGATGAGGGAGAGAGGAGAGAGGTGGGGGGCGATGAAGGAGGAAGAGGGCAGGAAGAGGGTGGAGGTAGTAAGAGGAGAGAAAGCGGAGGATAGGAGGGAAAAAGAGGATGAAGGGAGAATGAAGGGAGAAGATCGGAAAATGCAGGGGGGGAAGCTGGGCTAATATTTGGCGGCAAGGAACAACGAGATGGGAAGGGGAGGGGAGGGAGGGGAGGGGAGAGGAGAGGATAGGAGACTCACGCAGACATAGCGAACGGGTCAGGAGGATACTTTTCAGCTGCCTCCTTCAGCCTCTCTTCCTCCTGATCGATCCACGACATGACCGTCGAGGATGGCGATGGGGTATCGCGGTCATTGGGATCCGCGCCCTTGAACTTGGAGGGGCCGTGATCGGGCATCTTCTGAAGAAGAGAAAGTCAGGAAGAGAGGAAGATCAAGAGGCTGGCCAACATCTCAGAGGATTCCGCGGCACAGGGCAGAGCAGCAGAGGAGGAGATACCACTGTTGCAGTCTAAAGGAGAGGAAGGGGAAAAATAAGGAGAGCACAAACATGTGGGAACGGGAAAAGCACCAACAGAAAGGAACATCGAGCTAAGAACGATAACACGTCTTGTTGACCCTTCCTCGCTCTCTTCATCATCATCTTCCAATCGCTCGTCTAGTTGTTTTCCCACTACATCCCTCCTCGAAACGAGAGTACAGCATTTCCCGCCTTGCAACATCAAGGGAAGCGCGAGGAAAGGGGGGGCTGATGGCATTATCTTGTAAGGAGCAGGAAAAGGTCAGGAGGACAGCCCAAAGACACAAAAATCCATCATGCAACATGCTTTCAGAAGGATCCGACCGCTCGCTACCTCTGTGAATCGTGGGAAAGCAAAGGTCTTACCTCCGAAGAGCTGTTCGTCGAGGACGACGAGTTCGATCCTAAGGCAGATGAAGAAAGGATGTCACGAAGTGGAAGAGGGAGGAGGGAGGGAGGGAGGAGGAGGGATCGGACGATGGGGGAGGGAGGAGGGAGACTGAAGGAAGACGTCTGCTCGTGGGATTTGTTTGGTTGAGGGAGGAGGCGCGTGCCGTAGTAAAAGCACCGGTACTATCTGTATAAGTTTGTAATATATATATTAATGGTACAGATTTAAAATGTCAATTGGTAGGTTCGTGTTCAAATGTTTTGAAAAGTGTTATATATTATTTTGAATGTTTGGTGATATTGTACCATATTTGATCAAACAATCAAATAATTTCTACTGAGATTCCAGACATTTTGTGATCTGTTGTACCAACGCATATTATTAAAGGGGGCTAAGTGAAAATATAAGAAAGACAAATTGTTTTAAAGATAAAAATATTATTTCTTTTGTACCAAACAGAACCTTCGGACAACTGCTCTGCTACAAATGCGATTTAAAAATTGTTTTACAACATCTACCATGAAGCAATTTATTTTACAATATTTTAAACCAACCCACAGGTCATCCCTACCACCCCGATCCGAGAAGAACCCCATTTCTAAAGACCCCCACCCTCATTATTCCTTAAACTCCACCCCGTCTGACCTCATATCAATACTGTACCCCAGGTCCCTCGAACAGTACCCTACACTCAAATCCAGAAACCGCCTGAAAGGGTTCGAACATCCGCAAACTCCCGATGGACCCCCTTGTCACCCACCACCCCATTATCACTACCCCCTACCCCTAGTCTCATGCTTGAACATGTTCCTTCAGGGGGTCATCATGACATGCACCTCCAGTTCCGTCTGGTACCCCCCTTTTTGACCTTATTGAGGGGGGTATGCATCCGCAACTCACAGTCTGTCCAGCCACAAACTTGAGGGAAGGGGAGCAGGGAAGGGGGCGAGCGAGGAGAGGACGGGGACGGGGACGGGGACGGGGACGGGGACGGGGACGGGGACGGGGACGGGGACGGGGACGGGGACGGGGACGGGGACGGGGACGGGGACGGGGACGGGGACGGGGACGGAGAGTTGTTGGTGATGTTATGGACGAGATGGAGACAGATGACAAATGTGAAGAGGAAATGGAGGAATTTGTGGCGTGAGGAGGACAAACAGGGATGACAATCGGGAAGAGGATGACAATCTGGAAGGGAAGAACAAAGACATTGAACAGAATGCAAGAACCAGAACAATATTCGTATAGTTGATCTTCAAGAGTGATGTTTAGTGACGATCATGTCAAGAAATGAGTGGGATGGAGCAGGGGAAAGGGGTCTGTAGAGGAATAGAAGCGCTGGTCGGAAGGGGAATCAGAGTGATCGTTGTTCAGAAAGAAGTTAGGACGATTATAGGAAAGACAGTGCGACAGATGGGCAGCTTGAGTGGCTGCGAAACAGTACCGCCCCTCCACGTCAAACAGCTTTTACACGATCCAATCTTTTTTCAATCGTCGTCACAGTGCTTTCGTTGTGGCAGTGTGTAAATGCCTTCTAGAGCCACAGCTCTCAGAGAACTTGGGATATCATATCTGCTTATAAACAGTCAGTATTCCTCCTCTCCACCGCCCTATTGATAGTCTTTCTGATTTTCTTTTGAATTTAGAATTGTTTGTATGATTGTTGTCGTACCTCCATCAAGTTGAGGTGAAAGGATACAGCAAGTATGATCAAGATGGAATGTTCAATCGAAGTCTGTCGGTTAAAGTTGCTGTAGGCTATAGGGATGACAGTAACTGAAAGGCGTACTCGACGAGCTAGGATACGAATATGAAGTCGCCCTCGGTTTTCTGAGTGCCTTTCTTGTTCTTTCGCTGCTCGTGCATTGGCTATCTATCATGAAAAACGACTACTATCCAGCACGTCTTTATGCGAACAATTCTTCCCTGCGAGAAAATGATCATTTGTCAGGGGATGCTCTGGGGTGTGAGAACAGTAGGCTGCTGGGGGCGTTGATGATTTTTAGGATATCAAATTTTATTCTTTGTTGATGGTCCATAAAGTCCACTCGTTTTCGACTACTGTTGCACTGCGACCACAAACCATGGTAGCATACTAGAATGAGATAGCGACAAGTAGTCTGCTGTTTCCAACTCTTTTGCCTGTGACCCTATGCGACATCCGAGATTTCCTTAATTTTTGATTGTCTGCTGTTCTGTGCCAGACAGCTACTGGCATCAAACTGTGGGCTGCTGCCAACAAGAACAGAAAAGACATCAATCGCGCCATGAAGCTGACTTTCAAGTGAACACTCAGCATTGGGTGCTTTGTTCTGCGTTCTCTCCACAGAAGATAATCCACACAAAAACTAGTGGCCAGGAATGTTTGTTGCTGAATTCCACACTCTGCACTCAACCCTTCAAGAAGTTTTTAATAAGGATCGTCTAAACCCACCCACACGACCACGAGCAAACGGTCCAAAGATCAAATAAGATACATCTATGGCCAGGACAGCCCGCGAGGACAACACCCTTTAACGAATGACAGCAAGGGGGATGATTGAGAATCATCCCGCTTACTTGTGGCAGGTGTTGGTCTTCTTGCATGAAAGCCAGGCGAAGCGCTTGCCCTGAGAACATCGAATGAGCGACACATGGCAAAGCCATTTATCACGTACCCATGCGTTGGCGGGGGCAGCCTTCTTCTTGTGACCCCAGAGCATAGTTGTTTCCTGTAGGCAGATCTCGTGAGCCATAAACCAAAAGCTAATTCCAATCCGGAAAATCATCACTTTGATTCTTGCTGCCACAGGACACAGGTATTCCCACTCACACATCAGGTAAGAAAACGAAAGATACATGAATCTGCAATTTCTAGCCATATAATTCTATGTGCAGAACTATCAAGACATTGAGTGCCACTTCAAGAACAGATGAAACCAAGGTGTCCAAATAAAATTGCAGGTCGAAGGTCGAATGAACATGCGTAGTCCCACTCCAAAGAGTTCCATTCAGTGCAGAAAGTGTACATTGTTAGGGATGTGCAATCATACGTCACTGACTTTCATGAAACCCGTACAAAAAACAAAAAAAATACAAGAGGATAATAGTCTGAGATAGCAAAAAATGAACATGTTCCCAACAGCTTTCTAAATCAAATTTCTTTCTCGTGGTTGTACATCCGGTATCATTAGCACCATTTGTCCATACCAATTAAACAAAGTTATCCTAGACCCTAAAACCTCCACAAGACAAGGTGAATGCATCTAATCACAAATTGAGCAGGACTAACTATAAACGAGGATTACACAGGTACAAATCCATGGTAAGAATATCTGACGTAACACCATAGACGCAACTTCTAGACATTAGAGATCAATCTATTCACGAAGACATACACATTAATCTTTCTGTAACTTTCTCCTTGCACATTTTAGTCCGACGATCTCATTCCAACTCGTCCCATCTCTCAGCACAGCAAACAGCGGAGCGGTTCTTCATCCGACTTGCTGTAGCAACCACCAACTCATCTTCCTCTGTCGGTGAGCATATGAACATATCATCTCCGCTCATCTCTTGTTCTCTGTTTTTGTTGCTTTCCCCTTCCACCTTCCTCCATCCTCACATCGATCGCCATCATCACCTGTGAGAAGCCGAACATTGATGCGTGAGCGGTCGCGGTACGCCAACCCTGAGAGTCCCTTCAACACCACCCCTCCTCAACGGACCTGTCCTGCCCCGAAAGACTACCCCCACCCCAATTTCTAGTACATTTCGCCCTCCTGGAGTCTCTCTATATCTCAATTGAGGAACCAAACCAGAACCCCTATTTCTCTGTGAAAACCATCTACCCACCCACCCGTATTTGAATTTGATGATCTCAATACTACCCCTTCTGAGTTGCCACTCCAGGCTGTTCACACAATTGAATAAATTTCTTCAATAATTTATCTTTAAATCAAAATATTCACGAATTATTTGAACATTATTTGAGGGCACCTGATGTTTGTTCCATTCCAAGTTGGCAGTGCCTCTTCGCAATTTCTTTTTTTGTTCAGAAGTACCACCCTCAACTAATCACCCCTCCATTCATACTAAGAAACACGGGTGTGCTTACACCCTACCCTCGAATTCTCTCTTTCAGACCTACCCCTGTTTGAGACAGATGCTCTTTCATGTACCCCTACCCGAGAAAAATACCTCAAAGACCACCCACTGCACTTTGATTGTCTTGACCCCCACCTCCATGCCCACCCCCTGCACAAGACAACCCCACCCGTTCCTGACCCTGCGTGGAAAAGAGGAGGGGGATGAGGGCAAATAATGCTCCGAGGCGGAGGGTGTTTATAGATATTAACTAAAATCTCAAGGAGCGGAGGATGAGGGGGTGGGGATGAGGATGAGCAGGGTATAAGCAGGGGGATGAGGGCAAAGTTGGGTGCATGTGGGGATGAGGGGTGGGGGGCTGCTCCATGATGAGAGAGCAGGAGGGGAGGAGGAAGAGGGAGGGAAGCGACACGAGCAGGAGCAGGAGGACAGCGAGAAGAACAGTTGTACAAACCAATGTACAAGGAGGAGGAGGAGGAGGAGGAGGAGGAGGAGGAGGAGGAGAGAAGAGGAGGAGAGGAGGAGAGGGAGTGAGCGAGGCGACAACGAGCTGCAGGGTAGCAGGGGGAGGAAAAGTGATGTGGGAATGGTGCTGTGGGATACTTCTGGGTAGATTATTCCTCGCGGTATGGCTGGTCGGAGTGATAGAGATCAACTGAATCATGGGAGGAAAGAGAGAAAGCTCAGGTTTCCGATGAAAGGAACACTTGCAGTGGTCGTTTCTTGATCGGTAGGAGAGAGGAGCTGATACCAAGGTTGCGCTAATAAGAAGGCGATCTATGTCTCAGAGGTTAGACATCGTACCTTTGCGAGCTTGCAGACCTTGTGTTAGCTTGTGCTCCCCCCTGCTATGGTTGGCTGGCCTAATGCATCAGTCAGCAGGGTATGGCGCGCAAACTTGTGGTTCGGACCCTGTATCGGTCAATGCTCAAGGAGATAAGGTGCGCCTTGTGTGGCGTGCTGTCATGTGCGACCATAATCGCATGCTAGGGGCCTCACCATGAACGAGACGAAGCTCTACCTCCATGAGAAACCTCTCCTGAACCGTTGGGGGCACGGCCAGTTCGTGTACAACTCGTCGCAAGTGGATGCTCTGCTGAAGATGCTCCCGCCGAGAGTTTGCACGCAAGCAGTGGACTGGTCGATGACTCGGAGAAAGGTTGTCCTGATTCCTTGCCTTGTCCTGATTCCTTGCCTTGTCCTGATTCCTTGCCTTGTCCTGATTCCTTGCCTTGTCCTGACTCCTTGCTTTATTCTTGTTTGTTTCCTTGGCCTCGTCTGACGGGTTCTCTATGTCAAGGAACTTCTTCCTCTGCCTGAGGAGTGCTCGGACGGATTTTCTCGTGCACAGCTGTTTAAGATCACCAGGTGACCTGCACATCACGCGATGGGAAGTGGCGAGACGATGTGCTGCAGGGAGCTGTTCAAGAAATCGAAGGAGGCCGAGGAGGAGAAGGCGGTGGAAGCGGAGGACGACGCCTTCACTGTCCTCAAGCTGCTCACTGAGCAGCACCAGCTCCAACTGAGCTCCAGGTGGACCACAAAGTCTCCTCCTCCCTAGCTGACTCCGGGGAGCAGTACGTGCGTGACGAAGGGGGTCCGGGTTCGAGCTGTGGCGGCGTGGGTAAGGAAGGACTTGGTGAGCGGAGCATGCGATCATCTGGAGACGGCTGATGAGAATCTTGGACAGAAGGCAAGAGGCTATTTTTTTTGCTACAGGCGAGTCGTCAGGATGCTGTCTCCTCTTCCTCCTGCTGTTGCTCTCCCTCCCTCCCTCCCTCCCTCCCTCCCTCCCTCCCTCCCTCCCCTCCCTCCCTCCCCTCCCTCCCTCCCTCCCTCCCTCCCTCACTTGCTCCTCCTTCTTGCCCTCAATCCTTCTTGTCTCCCTTCGCTCCCTCCTGCTGCTCTCCGTATTCTCTTTCTCCTCCTCGCCGTCATTTTGAGCTTTCAGGATCACGATAGACAACGAGAGTGAGCAGACCGTTCAGCTGATCGGCAGACAGTGGGAAATTCTAGACGAGACCGGTGAGACAGGAGGAGGAGGAGGAGGAGGAGGAGGCGGTATTGGCGGTTGTGGCGGGGGAGGAGGGAACGAAGTTGGTGTTGTGAGCAAGCTCCTTTCACCAGGAGCGATATCAGGATCCGTGCCAAAAGGCACCCATGGCGTCGTCGGAATGACGCCAGTGCTGAAACCGGGTGAGGGCAACATTTGCCATCCTACCGTTAGCAGGGGTGAACATGAGGCAGGGCAAAGGTTCGAGTACCACTCGGGTGTGGAGTTGACAACCAAGGAGGGGAGGATGAGCGGGAGTTTTCAGATGGTTTGTATTGGACAGAGAGTGCCAGTTGCTGACTCTTGACAGGCTGTGGTCGGGGAGGAGCAGGAGGGCGATAGCGACAACGGGGATGACGAGCTTTTCGATGCCATTGTGACATCTGCTGTCATCTCCCATGGCATGTTCCTCACTGTGTGACAGGTCGCTCCGTTCGCGCTGAGGTCGAATTGAGTCCATGGAGGTAGGAGAGGGGTTTATGTTGCATGCTCTTGTTGCAGCCAGCTGTTGCTGGGCTGCTATTACATCTCATTCTAGCGAAGTCGCTCAAACACTCGTCGGGCCAGTCGCTTTCCCACCTCCTGCCGTCTAGTTACTGGCATGTCACCGCGGCCAGGTTCCCTCACCTCCGCTCCCTCTGCCCTCAAGTGCAGGCCATCGCTCTGCATAACGTAAAAATGTGAGAAGGAGGAGGAGGAGGTGGTGGTGGTGGTGGTAGTGGTGGTGGAAGAGCAGCAGCAGCAGCAGCAGCGTCCCTAGTCTGCATCACCTGGAAGGGAAGATCCTCTACGTCGATACTGTCGACGAGCTCAACTTGCTTGCATACCTGCGGCATCAGTCTCAGAGTCCTCCTCCTCCACCCCTGCCCTCCCTCACGTTCTCTTGCGCCTCTCGCACTATGAGCTTGTGAGGGACGCGACTCTCGTCTCCCCAGATCTTGCAGAGAATGACGGGGATGGTGTCTGCCTGCCCTCCTGCTCCTCCTCCGCCCAGAGCTCTTCGAGCCCCGTCGATGAACCTTACAAGCTTGTGCTGGTCTGCGGGAAGGAGTGAAAGGGAGTCTCAGCAGTGGGTCAACTTCACATGCTCGCGCCGCAGTCTCCTCCAGGGCGTCTGACTCGCCCTGATAGAACAGGATGCCTGAGATGGGGGGACGAGAGCCTTGGGCCTGATGTTAAGTCTTCACCCTCAGACACGCATCCGTCCTCCTCCTCACCCTCTCCGTCACTGCCAGCACCTCCTCCGTCCTCTTCACCATGCTCTCGAAGAGAACTTCTCCTGGTAGCCAGCGATCTATGCTGTCCTCCAGTCAGTCCCTCCTCCTCCTCCTCCTCCTCCTCCCCCTCTGCCACCATCGCTACCGCACAACCATCTCATCCTCCTCTTCTCCCTCCTCCTTTCCTCTCTGCTCCTCCCTTACCCCTCACTCCCCCTCAAACCGTCTCCCTTGAAATGCTGGTCAGACTCACCATGTTCCTCCAACGGCTGTTGGGATGAGTCCAATTCTGCGCTGAAGCTTCATCTATTCCTCCTCCTCCTCCTCCTCCTCATATCATCATCATCATCTCCGCCGTCGTCGTCATCATCATCATCTCCATCATCATCATCTCCATCATCATCATCCTCTTCCTCTTCCTCTTCCTCTTCCTCCTCCTCATCATCATCATCTCCATCATCTCCATCATCATCATCATCATCATCATCATCATCATCATCATCCTATCATCATCATCTCCATCATCATCATCATCATCATCATCATCATCATCATCATCATCATTTCCATCATCATCATCATCATCATCCATCATCATCATCATCATCATCACCATCATCATCATCATCATCATCAACACCACTACCATCATATTGCGCTGCCAGCAACATCACTCGCGCTACCGGAGGGGCTCCGCAGTCTCCTTCTGATTGTTCGCTCGCATCAACCTCGTCAGCTCGTGCGCGAAGAACAGCCCTGGCCCTGTCCCGCACGCTCTCTTGGACGGAGAGTTCGCTGCCTCCCGCAGAGGAATATCATCTACTTCTCTATGGAGCGGCTCCTCCGCCATGGCCCATCTGCCGCTGCAATGACTGCCGCGCTCTCCTCCTTCTACTCTCCTTCACCTCACGTTGCCGTCCAGCCAGCACGCTTGCAGGACATCCTGACAGGGCTCGAGCGCAGCTGCCAGTTCTCCTCGTCCTGCCATGTTGCTCTGACACGTCCGAATCAGCTCACGAGGACCTGCATGCTAGTCTACCTGCCCAGCAAGACAAAAGGAGCTGGGGTGGACGCATCTCTCCGATATCACGATTGATTTTGCTTCTTGCGCCTGAAGCATCCGTCGAACATGGAGATGAACAAGACAAAGATGATCAGCGAGGCGATGATGGAGAGGAGCAGCTGCGTCAGGAGCAGCCCTCGCGCGCTCCCTCCCTCCTCCTGCATCCTGCACACCTGACTAGTCACTGCATTGCTGTCATGCCCATCCCTCCATGTCTTCTCTGTCCGTCTCCTTCCTTCTGCACCTTTGCATCCCTTCCTTTCTCTCCTCCTCTCACCATCTCATCATGGTCTTCTCCTTCCCTTCCCCTCCCTCCCTCCCTCCCCTTTTCCTCCCTCCCTCCTGTCTGGGGTCTGGATCAGCTGGTATCATTGCTAGACCCGCATCCCCGCCCTGCCCAGCCACAACTCGGAGAGCACAATGCCATGATGGGAGAGCACTGCCGCGTGCGGCAGCAGGGAGAGCAGGTCACCGGGTAGCTGCAGAGCCTCCGGCAGCTGAGCCTCGGAGCAGGCAGAGCGTGTGGCCCTCAGCAAGCTGGATGCCACCGGGCACTGGGGCGCCAGGGCAGGACTGTGGGATGTCTACATAGACTTAACTGAGGTGGATGATTAAGGCAGCCTGCAGCCGGTGGCAGGCCAAGGTCACTGATCGGAAAAAGCCTAAACCCTAAACCCTAAACCCTAAACCCTAAACCCTAGTAGTAGTAGACGGTCTATTAAAATGCTAGGTGCTTTCAAGGTTTGTTATCACCTTGCCTTATGCTTCCTCGGCCCCGGCACTCCTAAACCCTCCATGCAGTTTGTACGATACAGACAATCTATTAAAATGCTAGGTGCTTTCAAGGTTTGTTATCACCTTGCCTTATGCTTCCTCGGCCCCGGCACTTCTAAACCCTAAACCCCGATACAGATTGTCTGTATCGTACAAACTGCATGGAACCGACTGTCATACTACATCTCCAACTGGTCCCGGACTGCGGACCCTGGGCCCCACGTCTCAGTCAGCAGGCCCAGGCTTGTCTGCTGATTTGGTGCACATAGGAGCAAGAAGGCAGCAAAGATTCACTGCATGCTGAGGCTCTTGAAGGAGGAGGAGGAGGGAGGAGGAGAGCCGTTATGACTCTATGCTCCTCCTTCTCCTCGCTCACAGGCGCCCTCTTCATTTTCCATGAGCCACGTCAAGTTCCCCAGGTTGTGGTAGAGAAGCTCGCAACCTTCTGCGTGCGAGAGAGTCACGGGGGAGCTGGGAGGTAGGTAGGTAGGTAGGTAGGTATGGAGGGAGGGAGGTAGGGAGGTAGGTAGGTAGGTAGGTAGGTAGGTAGGTAGGTAGGTAGGTAGGTAGGTAGGTAGGTATGGAGGGAGGGAGGGAGGGAGGGAGGGAGGGAGGGAGGGAGGGAGGGAGAAGGAGGAAGGAGGGAGGGAGGGAGGGAGAAGGAGGGGGGAGAGGGAGGGGGGTGGGGAGAGGGGGGAGGAGGACCGGAAGGAGGAGGGGGGAGGTGACAACCTCGGCATCGCCTCGCCATCTTTGCCGCCATCCTCGCGTGTTGATCGAGGGTTGTCAGGACGTCTTTCTCGACTGCTGGATGTCAGCTGGGATTTGCGGAGGGTCGCATCGGGTCACCCATGCGGATAGTGAGGGCTTGTCGTCGCCTCGTCGCTCTTCCGCCTCCTCGCCAGCGCTTGAGGTCGGCCACGAGATCTCCGCTCGGGTAGCTTGAGCCCTCAACCTCAGCAGACGTCCAGACAAGTGGGGGGGTGGAGGGGTGTCTGTGTAGGTGGGTGGGGGGTTACCTTGTCAAAAGAGCTCTGGCGAGGTGGGAAATCTTGCGGAAGACTTTATCAAGGATGTTTGACAGCATCTTCAACCACCGGCAGACTCGTCAAGCAGGAGAGCAGCTGGGCAGTGACCTCACCTGGACCCTCATCGTCCTGACGTCTCCGTGCGCCAGCGCAATGAGCTGTATGAGGGTCAGCGGTCGCCGGCTCCTCTGACCTTCACCGTCTCCTCCCCGTCCACGTCGTCAGCAGCGTCGATGGAGAGGAAAGTGATCAAGGAAGAAGAGATGAGACCCTTGTACAGCTGCCACGTGGTCAGCCGTTCCTCCCTCCTCCTACTTCCTCCTCGTTCCTCCTCCTCCTCCTCCCTCGTTCCTCGTTCTTTCTCCTCCCTCGTTCTTCCTCCTTCTCCTTCTCCTTGCTCCTCCTCATCCTCCTTCCCCTCTTCTTTCTCCTTCTCATTCCTCCTCCTCCTACCAGCCGCTGCCTTTCTCTAGCTATTCTTACCCCTCCATCTTCTCCCTCGATGTTTCTTGGTCTCCCTTGCTGCTCCTGCATTCTCTGACTGTTCTCCCTCCTCCCCTCCTTCCTTCCTCTCCTGCCCTCGTCGTACCGCGAACTTCTGCTGGGTGATGGAGAAGCCGCACGCCTGTACGAGCATGTGCTTGAGATCTGATAACACGGAAGTCATGAGATACGATTGCGCTGGGGGGCAGCAGGTGAATGGGCGGGAGGAAGTGAAACCTGCGGACTCTGAGATGGAAGGTCGAGATAGGTCGAGATCTAGGACGAGTTCAACCTGAAGGTGTGGTGAGAAGCAAGAAGAAGAAAAGGAGGGGGGGAGCAGGAGCAGGAGCAGGAGCAGGAGCAGGAGCAGGAGCAGGAGCAGGAGCAGGAGCAGGAGCAAGAGCAGGGGAAAGGACCTGGTTGAACTTATTGTGATGATACGGAGATGAAGTGAAACCATAGTTGAGGAGGAGATCAGCGTCGGACTTCCTGCCATAGAATCCCCACACCTGCCGCAAACCTCACAAGAAGTCGCCGCGTCCTCTCGCACGTGCCTCGTCCCCCACGTTGTACTCCCTGCGGGCGATGAGCGCGTCGGACCCGTCGGAAAGGAGAGTTGGAGCGAGGCGCGAATCTGCAGGAAAAGGCTCAATGGGATAAGATAGCAGCAGGGAGAAGAGGAAGGGAGGGAGAAGAGGGAGGGAGGGAGGAGGGGAGGGGGCAAGGAGGAGCAGGAGCAGGAGCAGGAGCAGGAGCAGGAGCAGGAGCAGCAGGACCTGGATGATGATTCATCAAGTCAATAAGGGGCATGAGCGTGTAGTTCCCAAAGGCGCGGGAGCGGAGGATGGAGTATGCCCACTGGTAGCGCTCGTAGGAGAAGAGGAGGGGAGGGAAACGGTCAGGATACTTGTCAAAGACCTGCCGGCATCAGCTGGAGGTCAGCTGAAGGGTAGCTGGGGGCTGAGTAGACCTTGTCCTTCATCTCCTGGAAGGATCGCGCGAGCTCATGGCGGAGCTTCACTGCCCTATGCAGGACGGGGGACCCAACCAGCTCCTTTGCCTCTTCCTTGCTCCAGGTGATGGGAGTGTCGACGGTGTCGGGGAGAAGGTCGAGGTAGGGGCGGAAGAAGCTGCTGCTGTTTACGCTCTCGCACATGAGGAGCAGCAGCATGCAGTCGGGAAGCTGCCAGCCCTCGAGGAGCCTGTCAAGGCTGCTGGCCCTGAGCTGGTGGGGGCCGAGGAGGAGGTGGCGGGGGACCTTGAGGAAGGTCTCGCCCGGACTGATGCGCTTGCTCGCTCGTAGGGCCCATCCCATCCCCTCCCTCCACACAGCCTCGACTCCCCCGAGCTGTACTCCTCCTCCCTCCAGCCATCGCAGGAGCGCCGACATGCGTTTGTCTCGCTCGACGGCTCCTTTCTCGCTCGTTCCACATACCGTAGGACCGACAGCGAAGAGGATCAAGAGCAGGAGCAGGAGGAGGGGGGGGGAGGATAACGTTGCCCTCATTATGTCCACCAAGAAGATAAAGGAGCAGCAGCGAAGGGAGGAGGGAGGAAAGGATGGGAGATTCCACCCATCATCGCAGAGAGGAACAAGGGAGGGGCATCATGGCAGCTTGGAGGCAGGAGACAGGAAGGACGCAGGAGACAGGAGGCAGGAGGAGACAGAAGGAGACAGGAAGGAGGCAGGAGGAGGCAGGAGACAGGAAAGAGACAGGAAGGAGACAGGAAGGAGACAGGAGGAGGCAGCAAGGAGGGAGGAAGGAGCTGCTGATGCTGCTGATGCTGCTGCTGCTGAGGTGGGGGGACAGGGGGGGACAGGGGGGATAGGGGCGGATGGCCGAGGAGGGGAAAGGGGCCGGGGGATTTTCCTCGGAGACCCAAAACAACCGGAGGGGAAATGGGAAGAAGCAGGGGAGGAGGGGGAGGAGGGGGAGGAGGGGGAGGAGGGGAGAAAGGAGGGAGACGGGAAGACGAAGGGAGTATGAGGAAGGAGGATAAAGGAGGAG